GCATAAAGAATTTGATAATACTGTAGAATGAAAAAAGCTTACTAGAAGAAAAAATCGCTTCACATTTGTCATCAACTTTTTTATTATTTAGCAAATATTCGCACCAATATTTCTAGCGGAATTTCGGTGTTATGGTATTGCTTTTATTTATTCTCTCTCTCTCTCTCTCTCTCTCTCTCTCTCTCTCTCTCTCTCTCTCTCTCTCTCTCAGTTACTCTGATAACGTTGTCATTTACTACAGAGATAAAGAACTCAATTTTAGCTCCAAACCTTCACTTACATGTTCTATTTTATATATTTACGTTTGTACGCATGGCGTGCGCATGCGTACAAACAACATGGACAGTGCGGTCACAATGGTAGTAAAGCTTGTATATGTTTTATTAAGAGCAGACAAATCTGGATGATCCCAAATATATTGTCACGGTAATTTTCTGTATTTAGGTATGTCTAACTTCATATCGTACATCTGAAATGGAGGCGTTGTCAATAGATACTGCAAACAGAAATAATAATTTTTTCCTTTCATTTTTTTTAATATAGGCTATAATATAGGAAAAAATTGTAAAATTTAATAGGACTTCCAGTTTGCTATGTAAATTCATTATAAATTGATGCCACTACGGAAGCCAAAACTAAATGTGCTCTTACCGCGTGATTTCTTAAAATGCCAAAAAAAAGACTTAGAAAATTCGTAATTTGAAATTCTTTTTTCATATATAACGCATAGAATAAGCACTCCAATTTAGGAATTAAAAAAAATGTTTTTAACATTTTAAAACATCTGTATGAGCATATTAGCTTTGGCTTCCGTCATGTGATTAATTTTCAATAATTTAAAAAGAAATTAAAAATGAATTATTATTTCTGGTCGCAGTGCCTATGGTTCAACTTCACCATTTAAATTAATAAGGAAATCCTAGTAAAACTGTCCCTGCTATGGGTAAATAGTTAACCCCTAAACTGGGATCAAAACACTATGAAAGTGTAAAGATAGGTTTTAATACCAGAAATATTTTTTGTAAAAAATTATTAGCATCAATGCATTTTTGAAAAAAAAAGAGATTACCAGCAATACATTTTTGAAGAAAAAAAATATTACTATAAATAATACGAATTGGTCGACTATTAGACATTAGAGAAAAGATATTATGAGTAAATAGCAGAGACAAAAAAGCAATCTTTTTGCGTTTTGATTTTTATGTTATTTTTATTATAATTTATTTAATTATTCTGTTACGTAATAAGTATTAAACTAGAACATATCGTTAGAATCAAAAGTGCTGAAATACTATCTAATATCAATATACCGAAATAGCGGTGAATGCTGTTCAATTACCTGGACGCAGACTAAGAGAAGATTTCAGCTTTGGTTCTACAGAAGGATGCTGAGTATAACATGGTCTAAGCATGTGAGCAACGAGGAATCTTTAAGGGAAATGGGGGCAAAAAACAGAAAGAGACCGCAGGAATTTATAGGAAACATAATGCGGAAAGAAATGTGAGAAATTTGCTATAACGGTTTTAATCACTTTTATTTCCCATTTCCCAAGTAATTTCGATGGAGTTCCAAGATGATCTTCAAGGATGCAAGCAGTACAAAACTGTGTGTTGCTCAGGGGTACAAGAAGTTATAAAAAGCTGTGTGTTGTTATCCATTACTACAATTTTTCATTATGCTTTCAAATGCAACGGTTCACAGTCGTGCTTAGCGTTTATTAGAACGTGAAAAAAGGATCCATTATGGAATTTTTTTTTCTTCAATGTTATAATATCACGGTAATGCGCATATTGAAACGTGAAAAACTAACAAATTCAAGCTACAGATCCTCGAAGCAATCTATATAAAAAAAAATTAAAGCCGGCACTGAACAGAATCAACTATGAATACTGCAGTAATGTTCTGAAATGCCTATAAAGGAACTGTTTTTTCTTAAAACTTAGGAGACATAAAGTCCGTATTTTATTTATATATATATATATATATATATATATATATATATATAGAGAGAGAGAGAAAAGAGAGAAAGAGAGAGAGACTAGAGGGGATACCCGGCGTTGCTCGGAAGAAATATATATATATATATATATAGTAATAGATTTTTTTATTTATTAATCGGACAAATAATTTATCACTTAAAACTTATTTTTAGTGGATGCTCATATTTGAGTAGAAGCTCCGTTTTTATTTTTTAAATCGTGTACCGGCCTGAGTATTTGAAAAAAGAAATTAAGATGAATATTGGCCTTCCGTCTGGATAAAAATCTGTCGGATTGATAAATAAAAAATCCATTACTGCTTTACAATTTGCTTTCTTTACATTTGTATTAGTAATTGAGCAGATATGAAATTTCAGGAATCCATGACGAGGATTTCACTTAAAGAAGATGCTGTTCAGTCATGCTTGAGCGGCAATGTTCTTCGTGGCCGAGTTGGTACAAGTACGTTGGATTTAATGACGGTTTCTCTTGTCTAGAAATCGTGTCGGACGGCATACAT